GAATCTATTTCATGCTGACTGCTGAGGAATGGGGTAGGGTGGGATGGGAGGCACTTGCTTAAGATCTTATCAGGAAACTGTAGCAGACAGTGGGACAGATCATAAAAGTTTCTTCACTTGGCACATGGAGTTCAAGGTTTTGTGAACATCATTTTCTGATGATTTTTGCACAGTTGATCAGGGTGCAAAGAGTCAAGGCTATAGGAAAGTGGGTAAGTGCTGTATCTGGGAAAAGAGAAAAGATAAAGGCAGAAGCCACACCCAGCCTCCCAACCATTCCAGAGTCCCTGATGTGTTGTATGCTCCAAGGGTCCTGCTCAAGTGGTTTTGATAGTTCAAGAATTCTGAATTGCTGCCGATCTTGCCACTCCAATCACAATGAAATCTCTCCAGAATCCACTGGATGACAGAGTCCACCTTAGAGTCTCCGTTTACCATATCTTGGCTGGAGTAGTTGATCAATTTGTTCTGTCCTCTATCCTCTGTTATGGTTCCAGGTATCCTCTGCAGGTTCTAATGTACTGCCATATCCTCCATGTTCAACTGGCTTTGCTGTCTACTGCTCCATCTAAGCCACTGAGGAGGCCCAGCTCTGATACATGCATTCCATGGTCATACCATGGAACCTGCAATTCTCTCCACGGTTGGAGTTCTGAACCCACTGGTTCAGTTGGGAGGATCCCCAGAGAAACCTCGTCTGAGGTCATTCCAGACCTAATTCTTGTGTGTACTTGCCAATACAGGGTCCAGCACAGACTCAGCTTATGCACACATTGGTCGTTGCAATTGCTGGATCAGTTCTGTCTCCAGCCACATCTCTTATGCAAACCAATGGGTGTTAGAGCCCAGCCTGATCCTGCCCAACACATACTCAGCCTTCACGTAAACCAACAGGAGCTGCAACCTAGTTGGAGAGACCCCCAATAACCCCTGCCAGGCCCACCCCTTGCCAATATGTACAACAGACTGGTCAACATCCCATTCAGCTCTCATACATGTCAACGGGCATTGAAGTCTAGTTCAATCCAACCATCCTCACCATCCAGTCCACACTGGTGCCAGTGGGTACCACTCTGTCTAGCCATGCCTGCCCCTACTCCTGGCTCTTGTGCTCACCAGAGGGAGTGGCAACCCAAGAGAGGTACTCACTGTTTCCCTGATGGGCCCACTCCCACCCCTGGAGCTTGCACTCTCCAGGTGGTTCTGCAGTTTAGCTTAGCAGAATTAGCCACCAGTGCCATCATCTGCCAGCCGAACCACCCCCAACCCCCCAGCCCAACCACCCCCAACCCACTCTGGCTAATGCATGCACTGGTAGGTACAATCAACCCATCCTGCCTTTCCCCCTATCCAGCTCACTTGCAGACCAAAAGATATGAGCCATGGCCAGCCTGATCTGCCCCCAGTCTCAGCTCTCAAACTGACCTGTGGGAGTAGTGGTCCAGCAGGGCGCCCCATATAGGCCTCCTATTGTTTTTGCTCCTTACTTCTCAGGTCTCACATGTGCTGGTTGAGCACTGCAGCCCAGTCTAGCATGGCCTGCCTCACCTTGGCATTTGCCAGTGGATGCTGTAGCCTGGTCTAGCCCAGCTCCTTCCCCTGCCAGTTCCAACTCAAACTGGAGGGAGTTACAGTCTATCCCAGCCCAGTCAAGGCAGATCCCAGTCCCAGCTCTAATGTAAACTGGCTGGTATTGCGGCCTGACTCAGCATGACTCACACACCATTCTGGTTCTCTGCTTTGCCAGTTGGTGATATGAACTGGCCTAGCCTGGCTTGCCTAAGACCTGAGCGAAATATATGCCAGAGGGTACCATTACCTGCCATGGTCTAGGCTGCTCCCTGTCTTGGTTCTTGCACTGATCTGCAAGGGCTATGTCTCAACAGAGGAGTTCCACAAGCTCCTCCATCAGAGCCTCTCCCAATGCCAGATCTCGCACACATCGGTGGGTCCATGGGCCAGCCCTACTTAATCCACCTTCCATCATGGCAGCAACAGTGACCTTTCCTGGCAGGCCACCAGTTCTGGCTTTTACTGTTGATGTTACAGCCCAGCCAAGCCTGGTCAATACCCAGACACAGCTCACACATAGCTCAGCAGGGGCAGAGACCTAGCCCAGCCTGTCCTACACCCACCGTGGTTCTCATGCACACCAGTGGATGCAAACCCCAGACCCTGTCCACAGTTGTGCTGAGGGACAAGGCAGCCATGTCCAGACCAGATCACAGCCCCCACTCCAGCCCTCACGCTCACCAGTGGGGAACCACAACCTAGCCAGGGCATCCCTTTAGCTCCCCAAACAGGCCTGTTCCCAGCCACAGATCTTGCATGGTTCTGACCCAGCTTGGCATAGCCCCTCCTCTGTCTTGACCTTTGCCTTTGGATGCTGCATCCTGGACTGATCCAGCCTGGCCCCAGTCCTGACTCTCATTGGAGGGTGCTGCCAATGGCCCTGCTCAGTCTGCTCCCATCCCTGGCTCATGCAAACCAATAGGTGTGATAGCTTAGCCTGGGATGACCTGAATTCTAGCCTGGTTTCTGCACTTGCCAGCTGGCAGTCAGCAATGCTCCATGCTAATAAGCACAGCTCAGAACTCCCATGTGGACTTGTGCATCGGACTGACCCATAAAAGTCATCAGGTCTCTCCCCTTCAAACCACCAGGTCTCAGTCCTCTCGCTTACCTGAAAGTTCAGTGGCCTTGTTGTTTGGAGTCCTTATGGAGTCATTCCTCACCTACTTATGCAAGGATGTCCCTCAGTAGTAATTCCTCACCAGGGCATGAATCATTGCTCACCCTCCCTGCAAATCCACCACCCCAGCCCTGTAGGACCCAGCTGGGGGAAGATGCCTTCTGTCCTCACCCTTGACAGCAGCCTGGGACTGCTCAAGCTGTAAGCATCATTTTATCTAGAAGAGATGCTGTTTTCAACAGCACATCCAGAGGTCTTACCAGCGAATGACAGAGACCAAATCAGTCCTACATGGCCAGAGCATAAGTTTCTGGGAAGAGCTATAGACCAGAATGGTAGGTTTCATAATTTACAAAATATATATATATTATCTTGGAGCCTCATGTTTATCCCTGGAAAAAGTTGGCAGAGCTGTTTTCCTCATTATACTCAAAGGATACTGAATTCTGACACTCAGAGTCTACTGGCTCCTGGCACACAGGTCTTCTCATTTCACCACAGAAAAGTGAACTCTTCACCTTTCTTGGTCAGATGGACCCTCACTATTTGTACAAAATATATGGGAAACCAAAATCAGCCATGGCTTAGTAGGCGGGGCCTCTGAGTCTTCAGTGCTAGCATTTCATGTGAACACCAGTTCATGTACAAGCTGCTCAACTTCCCAAGCAGTTCCCTGCTTAAGGCCTGGAAAAGCAGCAGAGGATGGTTCGAGTCCTTGGACTCCACCTCCCACAAGGGAGACCTGGAAGAAGGTAACGGCTCCTGGCTTCAGATCCACTCAGCCTCAGCCATTGCAGCCATGTGGGGAATGAACCAGCAGAGGAAGATCTCTTTTTGTCTCTCCTTCTATCTATAACTTTGCCTTTAAAATAAAAACAAAATAAATCTTTAAAAACAAAAGAAATCGAATAGGTTTTTATTCTCATACTCTGTTCAACCATCTCCTTTTCACTTATTTTATAGTAGTATTTTAAAAGTACTTACAAAACTTTTGAAGCTAATGTTTATATTTAAAATAGTATGCTTTCTTATAAGAGTAAATGACAGAGATAGAATTAGTGTTTTTAACTGCTGGTGAAGAGTAGTTGTCTTGGAGAGATTAACTTGAACTTTTGTCTGAATGCTAATGATCTTGTACAGTGTTTAAAGACTTATGCCTCCTCACTTCCTATCTCAGGTCAGTTCCTGAAGGGTGGGACCACATGGGTAGCTGAGTGTGTTTTCCTTGTGGTGCCAGTGTTCCTAGGCTCTGAGGAAGACACGAGACTGAATGCCTTCTCTTTCCTCCAGGATGGTGGATGTCTACAATTAAATGAAGAGAATAAAATTTTCCTTTATGTTAAGAGGTTTTTTTGAATGTATTGATTTTGTATCTAGGAAAAAATTCAAACTCGGGGAAAATACCAGGGTAGTTCAAAATGTTTGTGAAAATATGAGTTTGGGGTCAGTGTAGTGGTATTGCAAGTTAATCTTCCACCCACAGAGTGGGCAGCCCCTACAGGCACTGGTTCTTGTCCCAGGTGCTGCAGTTCAGGTCCAGCTCATTGCTTAGAACTGGGAAGGCAGTGGGGGATGGCTCAAGTCCTGCACCTTGTGGGAGACCTGGGAAGAGCTTAGCTTCCTGGCGTTGGATTAACTCTGCTCTGGCTGTTTGTACCATTTAGAGAGTAAACCAACAGATGGAAGATCTCTCTATGTCTCTCGCTCTCTGTAAAATCTGCCCTAAAAATAAAAAAGTAAATATATCTTTTAAAAATGAGTTTATTGGTGACAAAACTTTTTCATAGTAGGTGGAAAATATGTAGTATAGAGAAACCATAGCTGGAAGGACTGCCATTGTGATCCAGTGAGCTAAGCTGCTGCCTGTGATGCTGGCACTCCATATAAGAGCACTGCTTCAAGTCCCGGCTGCTCCACTCCCAATCCAGCGCCCTGCTAAGCAGCAGAAGGTGGACCAGGACTGGGTGAAATTTCAGGTGCTTGGCTTTTGCCCAGCCCAGATACATCCAACACAACACTTTGGGGAGTAAATCAGCAAATGGGAGATTTCTCACTCTCTCTTCCTCACTCTCTTTTTGTCTTTCAAGTAAAATAAGTTATTTTAAAAAAAGAATTTACAGGAAAAAAAATGTATGTTGGTATTTAAAGAAAAAACTTACACCAAAATAAGTTAATTTTGAAAGTTCACTTTTCTGTGTATTTCTTGAAGCCCTCTTATGTAAACCTTTCTTTCAGAGCTAAATTCCTTATGTGCTCATGAATAGCCCTCTGAACTGGCTGCTCTTGCTTCCCTTCCTGCCTCTCCCAGCTCCTGGACTGTTTCGTGATCCCAGTGGTGATTTTGCTGTCCTGGTTCTTCCTACTGATCCGGTACAAGGCTGTGCATTTCATCGGCATCGTTGTCTGCATCCTGGGCATGGGCTGCATGGTGGGAGCCGATGTGCTTGTGGGAAGGCATCAGGGAGCAGGTGAGTGTTCAGATGCTCAGCTGGCTGGCCTCTGTGAGTGAGGCCAAGATGTTCATGGTGGAGTGGAAGCAAGGGCAGCAGGAGCTCCTCACTGAAAGTATCCTGAGTGAAGGAACGTGGCAGAACACAGCTTTTGTGCCAACTGAGAAACAGCCAGTGTTTCAAACTTGAAGGCTGTAACCAGCTGGCTAGTGATGGTGCCAAGGAGCTATTGCACTCCCAAGGTACAAGGGCTCTCCTCACACTTTTAAAACCAGCACTAATCCTGCCAAGATTGAGCTTTCAAGCTCCTGGATGAATATTTGAAATTCAAAGGCCAAATTAGAAATGCTCTATATTTTTATGAGTGAGTACTCAGTTTCTTCATGCCTAAATTTTTAACCCACTGATTTGATGGAGAAAGGCCAGAAACTGGGGAGGGAAGGTCAGTATTGGTGTCAGCCTGTAAGATAAAGCTTCATGACAAACTCATAAAATTGCCATGAATCTAATGGGGAACACCTGATCCAGGAAAGTTTCCAGAAGGCCCATTATAAAACGTTGAAATCCTTCAAAATCTACCAGAAATCCTTGTGTTAAAGAAAATTGGAACAGAATGGTAGGAGTGGGGAGCCTTTAACATGCAGAATGGAATAGGAAGGACCCATCTTTTCTTTAGTTCTTGGAATTGCTGTTTGTGAAATTGGTTGATAAAGAATCATAAATGGGCCCTCCGTCTTTTAGAGAGCAGGCCATGTAAAGTCTCAGAAATGATGTCATTTATGCCACACCACAGAACTTGATGGCTGAAAGAAATTTCTCTCTCTCGATGTGAAGTCTGAGACAACAAGATCTAGAAAAGCCTGTTGACTGATCAATGGTCACTGCACTGAGAGACCAGGAGCTGGACCCCAGGGCCCTGACCTCTGCACATTACTGGGAGCTGAAGACACAACAGAGTGAGGGAGGGCAGTCTCAGCCTCATAGTCCCGTAGGCTACACAGCATTGTCAGTGCCCTCCTCAATAGGTGCACTGAAAATGTGTATTGCAGCATGTCCAAGATTCTCCTCTAAGAACAATGGCTCCACAGGGTACCAGTGGATTGTCTGTGGAAAGGCTCCAGTCATGTAGAGACAGCACATGGACAATCTCTTGTGCCCTTAGCTCTGAACATCCTGCCTGACTGCTTGCAAGTCACTCATCTTGACCTTCACCTTCCACTTCATAATTTGGGGAGACAATTATTGAGATAAGCCTAGTTGTTTAAACCTACAGTGTTAAACAAAATGAGTTGACTTCACCAGATTGTATTCCCTAATCCTCTAAAAAAGAAAAAAGTGTCCTTGCTTTGAAGTGAAGATTTAAGACAGTAGTACTGTTTAACAATAGAGTATAAGTCCTTCTGAGGCGTTTTCAAACTGGTCAGTTTTCTGAAACCATGTACGTGTGCCTAAAAGACAATAGAAGGATGGTTTAATCTGCCCTTTTGAATCTAATTCAGCCCACACTGCTGTTGCTTTTGGTGTATATAAAGTACTTGTATGAAAAGAATGAATTTTACAATCTGCAATCCTATCTGTGCTATTGAAAATGTGCCCGAATACATGGTATGATGCTTCAAAGACAGCCCAGGTATGTGATTCATGGGCTCATTTTACAAAGTCATGATTGGAAATTCTTTACCTCTGTAAGATAATTAAAATAGGGAACAATTTAAATTGTCATGAATTCAATAAAAAAGAAGAGAACAGCTACACTGGTATTGAGGTCAATATCAATTTAAAATTTGTATGCACCATCATAAAAAAATGTTACATCTGCTTTCACCTTTATAGAAGAATTAGTTCAATTGCATTAATTAGCCAGGGCCATAAAAACTTTTCTAAAAACACTTGAGGCACTTACTGAAACTTTAATCAAGCATTCATGAGATGTAAATTGTCATCGCCATATCAAGAGCTTTTCACAGGAAAAGCAGAATCTCTGACTTGATCCTTTTTATATTCCTTAATCCATGTTTCACCTTACCTTGAGATTTTGACAATTCTGTCTCCAAATACATTGATTTTGATGCATTCCAAATTATCCTGACTTCATTATAATGAAAGTAATTGTTTTAATTCTACTTTGGTGGCATGTTTTTCCATCAAGTGCCCAGAAGTTTTTCATTTTGATTTTAGCCATGCTAGAGGAGCACTCCAGATCTAACATATCAATGTCAAGGCACTAGATAATGTGCCAAGAATAGAGTTTAGAGGAAGCTTTACCAGCAAGGTCCTCACTGAAGGCTGAGGAGACATCCTCACTCCTGGCATGCGAGGCTCTGCTTTGGAGCCTGTGCAGCGATGTACACATTTGGGAGGATGCAAATAATGCTCAGGTCTCATCTTGTGCATGTCACAGGTACATCTGAGCACCACAGAAGTCCCATGCCCCTGAACTGACTCAAAAAGTGTTATCTTTTCTAAGTTTATCAGTTAAACTCATTGGATCTAAAATGTGTCCTCTCTCTTTTGCACTGTAGCTTCCTGTTGGCATTATTGGCCTTTTCTGAAAGTCCAACTGTGTGTCAATTGTCTCATGGGGGTGTTGGCACTGGGAAAATTGGAAAGTGTGGCACAGAGCATGTAATAGGAGTAGCTCCTGAGACTATCACAGCAGTTGGATCATATCAGAAGGATTTACAAAGGCCAAAAGGCTGTTCCTCCATTATGTTTTACTGTCCTAGAGAAAGTTACAGATACTAAAGAGAAGAGTAGAAAATAATGGAATTAAGATAAAACCTCATCACAATAATGCCTTATTATGAAACATATTTTTATCCTTTAAAATATCCTCTTTCAACCATAATATATTTATTGTACTTTCTAGGTCATTTATTAAATATGGTAGATACCCACAACAATAACTTTTTATTAGTAGATTATTTCAAGGGAAACAAAATATTGTCAAAGACCATATAACAAGCATTATCAAGTAAAAGTGGCATTTGACTGCGCACTGTTACCAGGCATTTTCTCATACATTTTATCATTCACTCTCCCTAACTGTGTAAAGAGTTTTTATTCTAATCTTTGCAGCTGCAGAAACAAAGTCTCACAGAAGATAAGACACCTGTCTAAGGGCTTAACACTACAAAATTATTTGGCCCAGATATGAAATGTACCTGTTCTTCTGCAATAGCCCTATGTCCTTAATTTTATGTAACTGTGACTACTATAAGAAATATATAACTGTTTTACCTGGTAAATTAGAAACTTAGATTCCAAGATATTGAGCTTTTGGTGCTGAAACCGAGATGTGCTGTGAAAACGAGCTGCTTTATCTCCCTTTGTGAGACTCATATTTTCAATAAACTTCTTTTATCTCCCAGCATTACACACACAAATACACAAACAATTTTGTTTGTACTTAAACAAAAATACAATAGAGAAAATTAACCCTGTCAACACACATATGACTGGGTTTATTAGCACCAAGGAAGAGTCTAAAATGAAAAATCTCAACCCAAAGAGACAGGGGGCTCTATTCAAAGGTAGTTATTATTTAACTTAAACATTAATGGTTGATGATTGGTTTAACCACAATTTAGTGAACCCGATAAACATCAGATGCTATGCTGAGCAGTTTATGTGTATTATTTTATAGTATGTTCACAATCAGATCATTTTGAAACAAGTAAACAAAAATTGAGAAAGGCTATATAGGTTTCCCACTGGACAGATATGATTACATCCAACTTAAGCTGAATGAAAAGCTGTTATCCCTAAGATCTATACCATATGGTGAACTAAGGCCTTTTCAGTTAATTCAATGCTTTTGGTTATTAATTGAGAACTTAAAATGTCCCAGACCAGGATCTGCACTGAATATATAGCTGAGTAAGTGACAATCCATATTTTTCAAGTTTGCTTTCTTTAGAGAGTAAGTACATGGCAGACTAAGACACACAAGGTAACAAGTAACCGACGTGGACTAGAATATGGTGCGAGCCATTCACAGAAGCTAACCAGGTGAAATTTAGAGGGAGTAAAGTGGCAGATCATTTTGAATGTCTCCATTTACCCAAAAATCTCAACATTATTGTAGGTTGTGATTTCATACATATTAAGTAGTATCGTCCCTGAGCATAATTTATTTAACTGTGAGCATTGTGCAAAAGTTAGTACCATATGCCAGTTATCTGTTGCAAAAAAAAAGCATACAAAATAATGAATAGTGTTGTAATTTCTAGTTCACTAGGTAAGAATTTTCATTATAAAATATTACATCTTATATCAAATACTTCTCTATATAGGATGAGTATAAATCTTCATTCTGGTTAGCTTAATTATTTCTAACTGCTAAATTTTAACATATGCTAAATCATATATATCTACTTTAAAGTTATTTAAAAACCGAAAACTATAATCACCAATATTAGAATAAAATAAGAGATAGTTAATTATTTTGACAGTTATTCCAGAAGATACTTCTGAGCTTGCAAATATTATTATGAAAAATTAGCGCTGCATCGGTGAAGACTTCGAGTACTACTACTGGTGTAGTCAGCAGAATGGGCCACAATTGTACAAAACCAGAGCTTGAAAAATATTAATGAGACTGTTCCCTAAAATGGTGTATCTCTTTTTAAAAACTTTACAAAGACAAATTAATGTTCCTCTAATTCCTGTTTAAATAGTTCATGTGATTTACCTTTCCTGAATTTATTCATATAAAATTAATTTTATTAACCAAGAATTCTGTTAAGAAGTACTTTTCACGCTTGATGAGTACAACAGTAATTGATACAATAATGATACCATGTCCTCCCAAGGTTGTAAAGTGCTTCCTGAGTGAGAGACTGAACCACATTAATGATAATTCCAGTTATGTGTGTGTGTGTGTATGTATGTGTGTTTTATTATATTTGAGGAATGACGTAAAAACATTAGCCAGTTTTCTAAACATTTCACCCTGTCACAACAACAGCCTTGGTCTTCTAGAAGCTGCTCCCAGAAACCTCCGGCCGGGTGTGCTTTCCCAGCATGGCCTAGCCAGGTCTGCTTTCTCAGCAGGGCTCTTGTTTCAGCTGCTGAGTGGTGCTGACTCCTGCTTCCTGAGCCCGGTGAGGTTTTCAGGCCTCAGCATCACCTTGCAGCTCTATTCCCTGGGAGGTGCCTCTAGAGCCCACCCAGCAACTGTTAGGAAATCTCACTTGGAAATGAAAGATTTTTCTATATATTCCAGAAGTGAATAGGCAAAAGAAGCACAATGGATGGGTGCCAGTTTCTTCTTAAGGCATTTTTTAATGAAAGTATGTCTGGTCTCTGTTTTGTTCCCCAGGAGAAAATAAGCTGGTAGGAGACCTTTTGGTCTTAGGAGGAGCTACACTCTATGGCATCTCTAACGTCTGGGAAGAATACATCATCCGAACCCTGAGCCGAGTGGAGTTTCTGGGGATGATTGGTCTCTTTGGTGCATTTTTCAGTGGAATCCAATTGTGAGTAACACTGATAGGAAATCCAGACAGTGAATACTACCACGTCTTGCCCTTAGGGTGTAAAAATCAAGGCTTATCACTTTCTAGAGATCTTACAAATCTACAAACTCAGCATTTGATTAGTACTTTTTTTCAAACAAGTTTATTATAAATTATTACAAAAATGTTTAATGGACTTTGAACATAATTTTATAAGAAATCATTGGAAGCATATTGATTCTCCCAATCCAATATGTAGGCTATTATTTACACAAATGGAAAAGGCAAACATAAACATCACAATTTGTACCATTTCAAGAAAACTATACTGTGTTTACAAGTGACAACCACTGCTAGAAAACTAAGCTTAATATTTCCCCTTTAAAAAATTATTTATTTGTTTGAAAGCCAGAGTTAGAGAGAGAGAGACTCTTTCATCTATTGGTTCACTTCCCAAATCGCCATAAAAGCCAAGGTTGGACCAAGCCAAAGTCAGAGGCTTAGAGTCTCATCTGGTCTCCTACGATGGTAATAGTGGCCCGAATTCTTGCGCCACCTTCTGCTGCTTTTCCTCAGCTATTAACAAGGAGCTGGATGGGCAGTGGAGCAGCTGGGGCATGAATCACTGTTCATATGGGATGCTGATGTCACACACAGTGACTTTACCCGCTGTGCCACAATGTGAGCACCTAAAACTGCCCATTCATACATTTGCTCTTTTGTTACCTTTAGTTTGCTAGAGTGAGTTAGATTTCAATTTTTTCTTTTAGAATTTAGTATTTCCATTTCCTTATAAAGGTAAAAATGTGATACAGGCATTCATTGACATCAATCAAAAGCACCAGTTTTGTAATAACTTTGGAACTGGAACATGTAAGCCCTCACAAGTGCTTAAGAAATGTTTACATTGCATAAAACATACTTTTTCATCATTGAAGACCATGTATTTTAGCTTCTTACAAGAAGCAACAAATGATAGTATGACCTCCAGTCTGATCTCACTAAATTCATTTCTATAAATGATTATTCTGATTTCAATAAATATCTTTCTACAAAGCTAGTACTTTTCAATTGTATCCACTCAATCTCTGTAATTACTTATGGAAGAAGTTGTGGCATAACCTTAAATACATTTTCCAAGTACATTTTCCAGATTCTCCAAATTTTGGTACTCTAAGTACTGTTGAGAAGCTCCATAGCAAATACAGCTGAAAAGGCTCTATTTTTGGTTTACTTTTAAACTGTGCTGACATTTAAAACTTTAGTTTGGTGAGAAGAAAAGAAATCAAATAGTACAACTATTCATAGCCAATATTTCGTAGATGAATAACTCATTTTACAGATCATTACTACTGAGTCCAAAAATATATTGGTACATCCAGTACTCACATGCTTCAGTTACAGTCCATAGAGAGGACTAAGTACTCTGGAGATACTGCTGTGAAATAAAGGTGTGTCTAGTAATTGTATACATGGACGGTGCCCTGGACCCAAAGCAATGCCCACCTCACTTCCTGATCTTCCATCTCAGAAGTGGCTCCAAAGTGTGCTCCGTGAACTCCCAGCTTTGGCATCACATGAGAACCGTCAGTCAGTAAAGCATTTCTTGGGCCCCACTTAGAGCTACTGAATGGGAATCTCCAGCGATGGGATCCCCAAAAAAGGTGTTTTAACAAGTTTGCTAAGTGACTTTGAGCTACATTTAACTTTGAGAACCATTGCCCTGGAGAATGCTCAGTCAAAAGAAAAAATCAATTAAATTTGTAGGCACAGAAATTTTCTGCATCTCATTATTTGCTTTTTAGGAAGCATCTTGGGTCACCTTGTGCTGCAAGGGTGGAAGGAGACGGGACTGGGAGAGAGGCTGGTTTTGCAAGGTTCTTCTCACCACTGCTGCCCACAGCTAGTGAGGCCGTTCTGGGATGAACTACAGGCTGCTGGCTCAGCCTTGCCACTGTGTGACTCAAAAAATGATTTGATTGTTTCATTATTTGTACAACTCTAGCAAGTGAAAAAGAAGCAGATAAAATGCATCATAATCTTTTCTCTGATTTTGCAGAGCTATAATGGAGCACAAGGAACTGCTAAAGGTGCCATGGGATTGGCAAATAGGTAAGGAGTTTGCCATTTTTAGTAAACCTGAAATATGTGTTTGAAAAGTGTTATGCATGAGAGCACAAGGAAGAAGGGGATTTGGAATGGCAGGGGACAAATGAAGATGAAATTCCCTTGTCGTCTTAGGAATTCTGCACACAGTAAGAGATTGAATTGTTTGATTCATGTTTCCTAATTGAGCTTCTGCCCATTATCAGCATTGCGATGCCATTAGGGAAGGCACAAAAGTATGTTATTAGGTTAAAGACCGACCAGAAAGAGAAAAATGCCTCAAGGCAGTGGTAGCATATAAATGACAGCAATTTGCTCCAGCCAAGAAACCTGTAACTGATGTGATCATTAGAAAATAAAGGAAAGAAGCTCAACTTGACAAAAGAGCATGAGGGAAAACAGTATAATGGACATTCTGTGCTCATATAAAACTTCAGAAGAGAGCATCTTGTGCATAAGAAATGGTTAATTGATCTCCATGTGGCCTTAGAAAAGACCAGACACACTTTTGATCTAGTTCATACTCATCCAGGCATCTTAAATTGCATGTATTTCTAAAAATTCATTTTCTCCTGAAACATGTAGAACAAGGATTTAAGATCCTAGGAAATGAGCGATCCTAAAGCAAACCCTATATATTGCCATTTAATAACATCAGAACTATTTCCCTCATTGTCTGCACTGAGACTTCTGGGTCCCAGCAACGAGCCCAGAGGTTGGCCTATGACAATGTGTGCAAATTACCTGCGGAATGAATGTAGTAGGAAGCCCAGTGACTCCCAACACTCAAGCTGGCATTTTCAACCATCTCCAGCCACTGTGAGCTCTGACACAGCATCAGCTTTTAGCACATGCATCTTCCACAAAGAACGGGAACAATACCAAAGCTGCCATGTACTATTGCATCTCGCCCGGCCTCTAGGCATCTGAGGCAGCTGGCAGGCAGCACACTCTGAAGGCACATTCTGAGCCCTAGAAGTACACATGATTCTCCCGGGAGGTTATCGCTAGTCTCTTCAAGGGTCGACCAGCTCTCCTGTCTGCCACGGAGTCCTGCCATGTAATCTCTTTCAAGTTTTACTCCAGAGTGCGGTAATTAAATGAAAATCAATAGAGAAAAAGAGAGTAGGAAGAGGACAGGAGAGTAGCTGGGGAAGGAAGCTGGCCACAGGTTGCAGACACACTTACCCTTGTGACTCTCAATGCCAGGAAGCCAACTGTTACCGGTGCTTGGCAGCACTTCACATCACAGCCACCTGTGGGTGGCAATTAATTTGATACTGATAGAAATAGCAATGGTAGCAAACAAAATTGGTCCTCTAGTTGGGCAGATGCTCTGTGCATGTCCACTGAGTTCTGTTATAATTCTGTGTTCAATGTGTCATTCAAAGACAGGTTTACTCTGAGCTCTCATTTGGGAATGAAAATGTCAGCCATGTAGTCTAAGATGAGGAAGGGCAATACAGAAGGAACAGATGACAGAGCTGTGGGTTGGATTCCTGATTGGAAATGAGGCCAGATGGCCTAGAAGGGAAATCAAACACACATCCCTTTCTTTCAGGAGCATTTGTAAGGTTCAGTTTCAGAGTTTGTTTTCTTTAACTCTGAGGTCACCTTAGTCTTCATTAGCTCACCCTGACTTGCTGTGTGTTCCTGTTGATCTCAGTTCTAAGCACAGAGCGTTCTGTGAACCAAATATTTATTAAATGAGCAATTGGTGAGTGACAGTCAAGAGAGTGGATCTGTCCCACCCTCTAGCTTCTCACAAAATATAAAAAGTTGGGAAACAGACTGGCAGAAAGCTTGACCTGATACATCTGGGGACTGGGAGATGACAAACTTGTGGAGCAAGGGGGACACCAGTGGCCAGCTAGCATCCCCGCCCCGTTCCCTAAGTCACCTTGGAAGTCACCCAGGAGTGGGCCTGGCAGTCCCAGGCCGGGACCACTGCGTCCTGGTGAGAGTGTCCACTGCTTCCATTTGGACAGCAGCAGCCACCAAGATAATCTTCACTTCCAAGGATTTGTCACTGTATCCCCCTCCTTCTCATCACATTACACACCTCCTGTGTGGCTCCACTGCCTGTCAATTTATCACAAAAAAGATAAGGTATTTTCCCCTATGGGGTGAGTGGAACAGGAATAGGTCTTATATTTTCTGGGCCTCCAGGCATTAAGTCCAACATATGCTATTATTTTCCTCAGAAATTATTCTGTCATATACAGAATATAACATTATGTTATATAATATTAACTTCCAGAATATAATAATCTGTTATATTCACTCAACATGAGTGGATCACAAGATACTGAAGAACTAAAACCAGGAACCAGGTAGATATTAGCCACTGGTGCTTAGATTTTTTGTTTTTGTTGTTAAGATTTATTTATTTTTATTGGAAAGTCAGACCTACAGAAAGGAGGAGAGAAAGAGAGGAAGATCTTCCATCTGATGATTCACTCCCCAAGCGGCTGCAGCGGCCAGAGCCGAGCCAATCTGAAGCCAGGAGCCTCTTCTGGGTCTCCCATGCAGAGGCAGAGTCCCAAGGCTTAGGGCCATCCTGGACTGTTTTACCAGGCCACAAGCAGGGAGCTGGATGGGCAGTGGGGCTGCTGGGATTAGAACCGGTGCCCATATGGGATCCTGGCATGTGCAAGGCGAGCACTTTAGCCACTAGACTACCGTATCAGACCCAGATTTTTCCTTTGTTTTATCCTGCTGAATTTCCTGGTTGTGATTATCCAAGCACTAAGCTCACAGGTGGCTTCTCAGGGAGCAAGAGTGCTGCAGCCACAGACAGAAATCTATCAGGACCTTAAGCCTTCTCTTGATCCCACTTGTCAAATTGTGTTCAAGCATGGTGAAAAAATGTAAAATTATGTCGCAGTCAGATGTCATGGGGAGTGGGGGCAGGGGGAGAGTGTTCCATGAGTCAGCTGGCTAGGACGTGTGCTATGTAGGAAGCTTCCTCAGTGTGCATGTTACAGGGCGTTTATTTGTTTTGTTTGTTTGTTTGTTTTCTGGTTTTTTTTTTCCTGAAGGCCAAAGCAAGAGATCTGGCCTTTCCCTAAACATGAAAAAATGGGACCATAAAGCAAGAAGGATCTCAAAGATTATTATGAGTAGATAAATAGATAATGAAGAAGAATACTGCATTCCTTTCATCAATGCTGAATCGGAGGCTGAGATGCCTTGACCAAGCTCTCTGCTGCCTGTGCTGCAACTAACTTGTTCCGAGCAACCCAGGCAACTGGCACCCTTTACAAACTTCACTTCCTTTCTCGGTTCTAAGAAAGTGCTTCACCTAAGCATTAATTTCAAGTGTTAAAATCAATGTTTTATAAATCAGCATAGATGGGAAATGCATAGTATAAAATATATGCATGGATTAAAACATTTTTTACACCAAACCGAGCTTATCATTTAATTCCATTTTCATTAAGCTTTTGGAAGTCCCTGTTCCATATCACATATGTGTTTCATATATACAGTAAGGTGTTCATCGGGGTCAGATAGGATACTGTTTGGGAGTCTGATTTTTCTTCATAGTAATTAAGCAGTACTGATTAGTGATACAGTCTATGGCCATACCACCCTGAACGCCCCCGATCTCGTCTGATTAGTGATACAGCCTCAGGATTCAAAGTCAGACTGATCATGTGACCTGAGAGCTAACTGCCTAACCGCTGTGAGCTGGTGTTTGGCCTGATTACTCATAGAGTAATTCCTCCAATCCTCCCATTGCTGTGCTGTGCTCATGCCTAGACTCCTGTCCATGGGCTTCCAGCTGGGGTTGGGAGTGACAAGAAGATACAGAGGGAAGGGAGCAAAAAAAGAAGCCAACATGCTTCTCCTTGCTTCCCTGTTGTGAGTCAGGTCTCTGTGATGTCCTCCTTCCTGTATTTCTTCAACTTTTGGAGTACAAGAAAGTTATTGCCACTGCTAATCTCTGGCCTTGCCATTCCTGTTTCCCCATTAGCCATTTAAATACCTTGCCACATTTTGTTCTATATTAAACTTTCCTGTGTTGCACTTGGATTGTCTATGTTTCTTGACTGATATTCATTAAAGGCTGGTTCTTTACTTGCTTAAGAAAGATTATCATAGTAATGGCATTCACTGCTGTGTAGATAAACTAATATGTATAAAACACACAATGCCTAATCAGCATCTGGGTCATATTAGCTGATACTATTATTGCTAATTTTTTAGCTTTTATTCTTTGGCACATAAGGATAAGAACAATTGAGTTTTATGTTTCATGAAAGAAAAAACATTTCAAAGAAGATGGAATCATAGCTCTTCTCTGTCTACAAATGTAATCATCACAGCTATTATGTAGTTGTCAGCCAAAAGTAGTTCATTACACATGTTTGATGATATTGATCCATTGGCAACCTATATGATTAGCAAGTCGGACCTTCAGATGCATTGTTGATGTCCATTAACTCTAATGTTCATCTAAGAACAGCAAATCAGTCAAGTGCAGCAATGCTGTTTCGATTCGCTTTGTTCACAAAACAGGGTAGTTGCATACAGAAGCATTGGTTAGCCTAGCAAAATGATGAACTGTGGTGACATTCATCATCAACTGTGGTGACGTCCCCTATGTCTAATTCCTGCAACTTCAAAAATTAAATTTAGACTATTTGGTGAAAATCATCTTGAGGTGGTCTGATCAGCAAAGCGAGAGGCCCCTGTGTGTCTCTTTCCCACTCTCCTTGGCTTGCCAGCTGTGCTTATAAAACCACACCTCTTTTCTGCGCCACTAGCTCCCTACTGGACAAATTTTGGATGGTGCACAAGCATCTTAAACTTAATGCATGCAGATGGATCTTTTTAATCTCCTCTGACAGCTTGGTCTTTCCCTGGTTCTCTCTATCTCAGTAACTGACTTCACAGTTTACCAAGTTCTAAAGTTACAGAACCCTGACATCCTTGACATCTTCCTTTCTCTTTCTATGTGCATCTGTCCATCACCGAGGTGGCTGAATCTTCACAGGCTTAGCAACTTACCCTCTCCAGTGTCACCCCCAGCAAAACCCAGCAAGCTACCTTCCTCTCTTGCCTGGCCTTGCACACTCCACTCTCAACTGGCCTCCTGCCTGCCTTCTTCCTTCCAGTCCCTTCTCAGAGTAGCCAAAGCTACCTTTTTAAAATGTGAATCAGATAATTTTAGTCAACTACTACACACAATGACTTTGTAGCACAGCTAAAATAATTCCCTTTCCAACACTTGCTAGGCCCTGTATAATCCATCCCCATCCCTTGTCACGGCCATGCTGTTCACTCTGCTAGTCATTCTGGCCTCCACTGCTCCTGGAACAATGCACACCCCTGCCCCTTTTGGTATCTGCTCTGGTGCAAATCTCACTGTCTGCAGTGCTCTTCCTCTGCTCATCCCATCGCAGCCTCTTTTTAGTTCTCTAGCATTTAAGGCAAAGGCTGTCTTCACACAGCCTTACCCAACCACCTGCCTGAAGCAGCCTCCCTGCCCTTCTCTGTAGGGAGACCTGACAGCAGCTCTCAGCTTCCTTTCCCTGCTGTGTTCCACTGAATTATCCATGACTTCAGAGCCCACAAGTCATAACCCTGCATGGTGTGCTCTGTGAGATGACAGAAAGGGCAGGATTCTAGAACTTCCTATCCCAGTCATGGTATTATCTGAATCAATGCCACTCTGGTGCCTATAACATGTTCTGATCAAGTGATTATTTTTTTGTAGATTAGTTTAAGGATGTATCTTATCCCTAGTCATCTAATTACAAATTTCCTTATGAAATATCAAATTAATTGTTGTCATATTTCATGTATCAATCATTGATTATACAGCATTTGTTGTATTTTTAATAATTTCACTAAAAGGAAAACGTGTTATAAGTAACCTGAAACCAAAATATAGGACAATGGATCCTTTTTAGGAATCAGAACTTCTGATGGAGAAGCAAAGTGCATATGACACTATCTGGTTGCACAGACACATGAGAGATCCAAGTGGCTGATCCAGCCTCCCCGAAGGGCATGTCCACCACACTAGAGGGGGCTCTTGCACTGAGCTTGCTCACTTAATGGCCATAATAACATTTCATGGAGACCTACTGTGGCTTTTCTTAAATTTAGGATCATAAGCATAGAGAAAGAGTATTTGGACCCTTGGTACTTCTCAACACTCTTCAGGGGACTCGCTGATGCTCCTAATTAGAAGGGCTGAATATCCAGTACCTGACAAAACCCGCAAAACTCCCAGAATTCAGAGGAAGCTGTTTGCCTAGGGCTCAAGCCAGCTGCATTTAACCAAGAGCTTTCTTTAAAGAAGTTACTTTTAATGATTCACTAATTTGTGCCACTTCTGCTTGTTCTTGTTCTGTGTCTGATTCTTTCAAAGTAAATTTTCATCTCATTATTTTATGCTTGATTGTATCAGTATCCGGGAAAAGGTAAACTGAAGTCTACATTTAGCTATAAACTCCTGCATAGAACCTTACAAAACTGAGTATTTGTGGAATTAACAGTTATTTGTCTAGGCATAATTGTATATATACAGAAAGCTTTGATAATAACGGACTGGTATGAATCATTTTAAAGGCATCACAGCCCAGGTGTGATAGTACATGATTTGCTGGGAAAGGCTGTGGGGGAAATAGGGCTCGGTGTTGTCTGGGATAAAGCTGAGCAGAATTCATGAAGCTGGAATAAATGGGAAGAGTGTCCTGTGCTCAAAACAGAGAAAGGTTAGCCCAAATTCACAAAACTAGGATTTCAATTAAGTCTTCCAAACCAGGTCTCTTTTACATGTAAAGCCCTTCAATGTCCAGGACCAGGCAATTAATCATTATGATGAGCAATGCATGATGCCAAGAAGATTTGTTCCTGTTTCATAAGATTTCTCTAAGGAGTTTAAAATATGATATATGGATGGCACAAGTGTTTTGGAGTCAGAGAATCCAGATGCCTGGGAATGCAGCCACTAGGAGGCACTCTTTCTCCGAAAAAGCAAGATGTCAGCTATGCAGTACTGGAAGCAGAAGGTTCCCGCCCATACAGGAATTTTGACTTTTCAGTGTATGTCTGTTTTGTACTAAAAAAGAAAAAAAAAAAAACCATACCAGTTAGCATGGTGAAATACCGCTGCTGTGAGTGGTAGATGGTGTGCTCTTGCTCTTTTTTCTACTCTAGATACGGAACAAGACTTGGATGAGCCCTGACACTTGTCTCTCTCTACTCTCCACAGGCCTGCTCTATGTTGGCTTCAGTGCCTGCATGTTTGGTCTGTACAGCTTTATGCCAGTTGTCATAAAGAAAACCAGTGCCACTTCAGTCAACCTCTCCCTGCTCACGGCAGATCTGTACAGCCTGTTCTGTGGATTGTTTCTTTTCCACTACAAGGTAAGTTGAGTCACTGCTCCCATGTGAAGATGTCTCTGTTTAGGAAATGATGCTTACAGGTAAGTGTGCCTAGAGGAGGAATGCCATAGCTCTGTGCAGGCAGCTGGGATGCAACTATGTGCTAGCTCTCAAGCCTTCATATCCACATTTTGGCTGTAAGACAGAAGCAACCTTTTATTCTAACAGATCAGAAACTGTGGACAATCTAGAGGAAAGGATAAGGAACAGCTAAGAAGGAGAGGGCTTTTTGAGAAGCACTCATTCTGGAGGTGCTTTATCTGTGCTGAAGCTGGGAAGATCCAAACTCCAATGCCCAAAATACTGGCTTATCTGTTCTCTTTTGGGAAAAGGCATAATCCCTACAGATTTTGTTTTGTAGAAAGTTTAACAGAAAATATTAATGGAAATGCTAATGCTGTAGAAATAGTTCTTTCCTGGAAGTTGAGGATTGAATAGAACAAAACAAAGAGATCTTGCAAGCACCTGGAGTTACAATATCAGCCCTGGAGAAAGGAAGAAGCTGTCCTGTCAGAGATGCAACCTCCTTGAATGTATGAATCTACCCATATCATCACCCATGGTAGGCAGGACTAATTATGACACACCAGGATCAGATGCTGTTCCCCTTGTTACTCTACTTTAACAATCCATTAGGGTCAGCACATGAAAAGTAACCCTTTTCCATTCCTTCCCTAGTTGTGGAGGGAAGATGCAGTGGGGGCTCTTTCCAGGTTAAAGGTGACATGTCAAGCAGATAAAACAAAACCAGCCAGGCAGAGGGAGGCAGGTAAGAGATTATGTCAGTCTGGCCATGGCTAACCAAGAGTTTCACCAGTGCCTTAATAGTGAATATCACCAGGACATGCCAACCACTGGGACACCTTGGTGGGCTGTGAATATGTACTTGAGATAAGCAGAAGCAAAACAGCTAAAGTGCTTAACCAGAAGTACTACTGACACAGAGAGATCTCAGTCATAGCCACAAGCAGGTTAAAAACACAACCAAGGCTTTTAGTTGAGAGGACCACAAATGGATCTAGAAGATTGGAGGTACTGACAGAATGGCTATGCTAGTGAACAGGACAAAAGAGCTCAAGTTTCTTTTTCCCCCATCAAAAATAAGATTTATTGATTGTTTGAACTAAAGACAGAAGTGTGTGTGTGTGTGTGTGTGTGTGTGTGTGTGTGTGTGTGTGACAGAGAGAGTGAGATACCCTGTTTGCTGGCTCATTCTCCAACTGGCAGCCCACAGCAGCAGCCCAGAACCTAATCCAAATCTCCTTAGGTAACAGGGTCTCAAGCACTTGATTCGCTCTCTGCTGCCTCCCGGGGTGCACATTCTGAGGAAGCTGGAATCTGAAGTGGAGCCAGCACTCCAACCCAGGCACTCCGATCTAGCATATGCTCCTCCCACGCAGCATCTTAACTGCTACCCCAAATACCTGCGCCCCCAATTGTATTGATGTATAGTTAACAGATAAAAGTTACACATATACACATATGTATATATATTTCTAATAATCAAACTAATTAAGATATACATCACCTCATGTAATTTTTTTTCCATATGTTAGGGGAGAATTCATAAATTCTGCCCTGGCTAATTTCAACTAGGCAGTACATTCTTGTTAACTCTAATTACTGTCTATAAACCGTATCTCCGGAAGGTAACCATCTTTTAATAAAATCATACCATGAAAAATAATTTGTTAAATGCTTGAAATGCCTGCATCCCATGTGTGAGTGCCTGGTTCAAGTGCCAGCTTTGCTCACAGTTCCAATCCCAGCAGGCACTGGGAGTGCACGCCTTGGGAGGCAGGTGGTGAGCTGAGTCCTTGTCCACCCTTCTAGGAGACCAACAGAGTTCCTGGCTCACAGCTTCTTCCAGCACAGCTGTTACAGACATTTGGAGGCGTAAACTAGTAAACTGGAGATTTGCTCTTCCTCCTCCCCTACTTCATTGCATCCCCCTCTCAAATACATTACAGGAATGAAAGAAAAAGCAGCCACTGGGGACTGAGCAACTTTTCTCGTCTCTAAGTTGTTTGATTGGTCTAGGTCAGTATGTTTCTAGAGCTCCCCAATCTCACGAAAGCATGAAGTCAAGTCATAATGCAGGTCTCCCCTGTGGATGGAGGAGCCCAAGCACGTGGCTCGGCTGTTGTGATAATTCTCTATGCTCACCTCCTAGAGAAAACACTCTTAATAAGATTTTTTTTTATTTCTTTTTTTATTTCTATTTTTTTTATTTCTCCCATTCTGTGGTTGTTTATATATATTCTCCCATTCTGTGGTTGTGTATATATATATAATTTATATATATATAAAATTTATATATATATATATATATATATATATATATATATATACTGTCCTGTGAAGGACAACAGTTTTTACATTCATGAAGCCCAACTTATCTACTTGTTTACATTTTTAAAATATAAAAGAAATCAGGTGAATCCTGCCATGACCCGTGGGCCTCTAAGTCTTTCCTGCTGCTTCTCCTTTCCAAGGTTGCCCATAGTAACTGCCCATCACTTTGTACTATTGGCTTTATGAGGATGGTTGAAAATCACAGCCCAAGGAAGAGGAAACTAGATTCAGGCAAGGTTTCCTTAATTCTAAAGAGTATACTGCAGAAGAAGCGTTAAGCAAGTAATGCTCCTTTGAGGATGAACATCAGAGTTGTCTAAGAGTTTTAGAAATCTGGATGCTTGGATCTTGCTGTCACTGATTTCAAGCAACTAGTGTTCAAAGCTTCTGCAGATGGGGCTGGTGTGCAAGCAGGATTAAGTCACAGACTGAGTTCCAAAAGTTTGTAGAAAAATGGAATTAAAAACTAATTAATTAAATTAAACTAGTTAATTAATTAACTAATTAAAAACTAAGTTTAATTCAATGAGTTCATTGGGGGCAGAAAATGCGTAGATAGGATCCTGGCTGCAAGCAAGGGGAACAATGACCAAAAAGGGTAAGCTGTATGATTGTTGCTGAATGTGCAGGAATCCTCTTAAACACTAGTCATCTCAAAGTGTATGAGACAGACTTGGGAAGCCAGAATTCGTGTCCTTGGAGATGACAAGAAACTAGGAGTAATAATGCATGTTTCAATGCTGGGGATTGGACCAGTGGCTTAAGATCTCATTAGGGTTTACTGTGATCTGCAGTGATAGTTTATTCCTTCCACTAACCATGATATATTAATCCTAAATCACTTTCTTGTCTGGCTATAAAATTATAAGTATCTGCAAGTCGAGAGGGTAGGGTTGTTTTCTCAAGTGTGTTGTGTATCCAGACAGAACCAAATGGTTCAATGAATCTCTCTCGCCCAACACTAATTATTTCCTTTTGTGATTTTCTACCCTTGGAAGAGATTGATGCCTTTCCCCTCCCATTGGCCCACTGTCTGCAGCCCCTCTCCCTCTAGTGCTGATGGCAATGTTAACTGCATAATCACACCCATGTCTCTGGGAGACAAACAACCAAATTCTGAACTAGAACATATGAACGGTATAGTATAGTATTTTTGCTAAACTTAATTTTACAAGAGTTTTGATAATTGGCTGATTGCTCCTTATTATCTGACAACATTGTTGAACCAAGAATAGTAAATCAATAGCAATCCATTCAAAGCATATACAATGATCTTTGCTGGACCTCAGAGACCCCCCCCCCAAAAGCAAACCCCAGGTTGGCATGGAAGCTTTTCACTTTGTGTATGTTTCAAGATGAGAGCTTGATCTGTTAACAACTCCATCACTTACAGGTATTGTGCAAACAGGACACTTTCACAGATTAAAGGGTATTAGTTTTCTGTTGCTGCTGTAACAATATACCACACCTTCATTGATTTAACCCAAACTTGCTCTTTTATTGTTATGGGAGTTCAGAGACTTCCTGCGCTAGCATCAAGTTTTAATAATAATTCTTTAGTTTCTGGAAACTCTTAGGTTTAATCCATTTCCTTGCATTTTTCTAGCATCTAAGGATCACATATGTTCCTTGTCCCAGGGTCCACTTTCATACCTTCAAAGCCAGCAGCACAGCAGCCTCATCCCAGATTCCATCTTTCTGCTTCCTTTCATAGACCTCAAACAAACAATAGGCATACCTGAATAATTCTGAATAATCTTCCCCGCTCCAGTTCTCAGTTAATCACTACTGCAGAGTTACCATGTAATTTATTTACAAGCTCCAAGGGTAAGGACATAAATGTGTTTGGAACCCATTAGTATGCCTACCCCAGAAACTAATGTTTATTATCATGCTAGGATGACATAGTGCATTGACTCCAAATCGGATGTCTGGAACTTATGGTCCCCCTATCTGGTGGATGCTCCACCTACAGACCCTCTGTGCTCTGCTTGTTGAATTTCTCTACTGATTTTTTTTTTAACTAGACATAATTTTAATAAAGAAAACACTTTAACTCCTGTAGTGGAAAAAATATTGGTGGGAGAGGATCCTTTCAATGTCTACCATGTGAGTATGAATTAAGCAGGATGTTGTAACACAAACAAGCACATCAACTCCTGTTTCATCTGTAAATTGTTTGCACCAATTAGTGATCCTTTTTGAACCAGGGTGAATACTTTTGCCCTATGGGATTTTTGAAGGGATGAAATTAGAGGACAAACAATCACTAGACATGGTGCATGTCTCTGACAAATTATGCAGGTCCTTGATATGTAAGGTTAGTAATCTTTATCTCATCCCATTTTTAGATTCTTAGTCTGCTTTTAAACTTTTGTAACAAGGTATAGCTCCTTATGTGGCATGAGTTCTAACTTACTACTTGTTGGAAATGGCAAATCTGGTGTTTCATGCAAAAAGAATGTAGAAAATACTGTTCCCATTATTTCCATCTACATTTTTTAATTCCTTCATTCCTTAGAACAGAATTCTTGACAACCAGCAATACAAAATATTTGAGTCTCATTAAAATAAAATGAGTGCATTCTTACAGTATGAATCATTCCATGCTGGACATTCTTCAGGAA